GGCTTCTCTTCTTTTTGATCGATTCGATTTTTCAGAAAACGGAATTGTGGGACGGCCGAAAGATGTAGATGGCATAGGTTCATTTATTTCAATACTAAAATCACTTTTTAGCCAATTCGAATTTTTTTTCTTAAAATATTCCTTGTTCCGCAACGCTTTAGTCAATCTTTCATCAAAACTGCGACATAAACGATTAATTTTTTCTTTAATTTTTTGTGTATTAGATGAATTTATCTCTTCTCCTACTTCCTCTATAATATGAAGATAAATAGCAGAAAATTTATCGCCTTTGTCTCTTTCTTTTAGCCACAGTTCAAAACAGTCTTCAATTTTAAAACGGTGCATGGCTAAAAAAAATTTTTTTTTTAGAAAGGGTAGCAGTTAGTAGCAAAAAAATTATATTGAATAACAATCACTGATAAAGACGGAATGTTATCGTAGTAAAAATATCTTGGCCAAACTCAGCCAAATTTTTATAAGTCTACCTAAATCTTGGAGTTTACAATTTTTAAAATAAATATACACTATTTATGTATTAATTAATTTAAAAAACTGGGGTGAAGAATTACGTATTTTTGTTTATAACAATTAAAAGTACATACCTTAACAATAATACCACAAGTCACTGAAAATCCAATTTTTAAAAATTACAAAAACAGCTCAGCTTTAAAGTTTGTCTACGCTCGGTGACTGCTTTACCGTAACTGACCACGGACAGAAACTACAACTTGTTGTTACCTGAGTTAGGTAGAAGGGGCGCTCAAATAAAATTCCCATTTAGGATTCGTGAGCTCTGGAGTATTAATTTTTAATATATCGACTTAAAAATGTATTTACTAAGAGTTGAAAAAATCACTTTTGGCCAAAAAATTCCTTTCTAGAAACCATAGTGCAATCCTGTGAAAATCTACTTGTTAAAACAAACTCATAATTTTTGGATTCCAACAAATAGCTTTGGACTTCTAAAATGGACTGGGTTGATATTCGGACTCCAGTTTGGGAAGGCTTCCATAATTGTTTGTATCCCACTTTAATATTAGAAAACAAATAAATACAATCATTTAAAAACTTAATAGTTTCTTCATATACAATGGGGTTAAATTTAATTAAGGCACAAGAAGGATGTCTGGAAGTCATTAAGTAGAACCATTTCTCAATTTGATCCAAAAACCAGGCTGTTGTTAAATACTCAGGCTTGTCAAGTACCTCAGCTAAAAATTTCAAAGCACTACTTACACTGTGACTTATAACGTTGGTTGATGTTGAAACCTTCATTTTAGAAAAATGCGTTGGCAGTAAATCCTTTTCACTAAGTTTTGGCGCCAATTTAAAGGTGTGAGTTTTCTGATGTGCTAATAGTTCACTTATATGACTTGCCAGAACTTCTTGTGAAGGTAAATTATATTTTTTGACAATTTCATCTGGTAATTGAACGACTTTATTTTGAATAATCATTGATTTGATATTCTTGAACAGATGAGGAACATCAGCAAAAAAATAAATAAATGCATCTGGTTTTGAAGGGTTCAGAATCTTACAGTTTATAGGTGAGAATTTACCAGCAGAAATTCCCCAACTTTTCCACAAACCTTGATTGCAGGCACCCATATCTGACGTAACACTAATAATATTTAAATTTAACTCTTCGGCTTTTTGAAATAGGCGTTCTATGATATCCTTTAAGACAACACCATTTACCGAATCAGTTGTAAAATAATAAGCTACAATTTGTTTCCAGCGAGTAGAAATTCCACCTAGCATAAAAACAAGAACATGTGTTGCTGTTCCAGAATGGTGTGGCAGTGTTGTTTCCCCAAAATATTTATACAGTGAACCATCAAACGTATTTCCTGGTGTGATAGCCATTTCATCAAGAACCAACATACAATCCCTTTCATGTGGTTTAAAATTTTGTACTTTAATTTTCATAAATTCAAACACTTCATCAAGTATGCCAGAATCAAATTGTATATGTTGAAGTTTTCTCTGTAGTGTTCTAAGGGATGGCAAAGGATAACCCTGCTTTATTAATTCATTATAACCATTGTTACCGCAAGAAAATTTAAGTTTTAAACATTTTGTAATCGTTTCGTTTGACCACTTCATAAATTTAGTAGATTTGTTAGCCTCTTTTTTTTTAAGAGCCATAATTTGGTCATCATTAAACAACACCCGCATCAAAGTTGTATTAGATTGAGAAGAGATTTTGGCATGCTTTTCAAGGTTTTTGATTTTGTTTCTACTGTTTCTTAAAAGTCTTTTATATTTCTTAGCTTTGATCCTTTCCTTATTATACAATGTTTTATATAAAATATTTTCCTTATTTACATCTTCGGTAAAAGAAATACTTGATATACTTTCTTCACTTGAACTAGATTCTAATGTCGATGTCAGATTACCAATAAAATCAGTAGCTGAAGTAGATGGCACATTACTAGTAGATAGCAGATTACTAGTCGATGTAGAAAGTATTGCTATTACATCTGTTGAAATGTGTGGCTCAATTGAATTTACTTCTAAAAGAAAAATAAATCATTCAATTATTTGCTTATTTTGGTACAAACAAAATGGTAATTATCAGGTAGTTCTTTATCAATTTCTTTTATTTTTATTGGGAAATGCTATATACAGTGCTACATACGGAAAATTTTGTTATTATTAATTTTATAAGAAAAATACTTTTTAAAAAATTCTGCTTTCCAAGAAATTTAAACTAATTTATTTACATTGAAGATAACATGTATAAAGTGGTAAAAAAAAATAAAAAACTTAGAATAAACCCAAGTAACATTAATTTTTATGTTACAACAAAATATAATCTTTAAATTTTTCACTATAACATGGGTTTATTGTCAATTAAAATTTTTCAATTATTTTCCAAATTGTCCAACATTTTGTAATGGCCCTAGGCGGATATACACTTTGTTTTAAGTTGTCCCAAAACAAATTTAATTTTGAGTAATATTTATTTACTTATTACACATTTGGTTGTAAAATAAAAATTAATAGTATTTCCCTCTTGAATTTAAACCCAAGTAACATTAATTTTTATGTTACAACAAAATATAATCTTTAAATTTTTCACTATAACATGGGTTTATTGTCAATTAAAATTTTTCAATTATTTTCCAAATTGTCCAACATTTTGTAATGACCCTAGGCGGGTATACACTTTGTTTTAAGTTGTCCCAAAACAAATTTAATTTTGAGTAATATTTATTTACTTATTACACATTTGGTTGTAAAATAAAAATTAATAGTATTTCCCTCTTGAATTTATTTTAACTTTTTTTAATTTTGGATATCCAGTTTTGTGAAAGTAGGTGTACAAAAAACTTACCAATTAATAAAGGCTCTACTTTTTCTTGGACTGGCAAGTTTCTCTGAGTTGAAGGCTTCCTTGATATAATTGGTTCGGAAAATGAAAAAATGGTAGGTACAGCATCACTCTTTAATTTGCGAGTACCATCCTCCCGGGTCTTCTCCCACATATTGGCAGCAAAGTGAATCTGCAATTATAATAGTAAGGTAAAAATATCAATTAATAATAACATAAATAATAAGCCAGGGCTCCTCATACAAATATAAAAAAATATAAACATACTTCACATAAATATGAATTATTTGTTGGCGTCCAATGATCCCGTCTAGTTCTAATTTGCCACTGTCTTCTTTTATCATGGTCCCTTGGGAAACGTTTCATTAGAAACCCCTTTTCGGAAGAATTGCTACAATTAACTGCAGCACACCCAGGCATTTTTGTTTCGCAGATGACGTTCAACCTTAAAACATGAAAACAAATGAACTATTTTCAATGTATTTTCCTTTTGCTAAATATAGGCTTTATATAAATATCGAAAATTTATTTAAAGTCATTTATAATACTATATAAAGCTAGAAATTTTCAGTATGTATTTTGTAAACAATCCTTACCACTAACAGGTGAGTAAATTTTCCAAGATTTGCTGTATATAATATAACAATTCCAGACAACCAAATTAACACAGATATTTAAAGTTTATTACACAGGGCAAATAATGTTCACTTAAAACTACCAAAACTTTTATAGTTTAACACAAATCGTCAAGAAAACAAATAAACTCCGTAAACACAGTGATAGACACAAACTATTTTCGATGCAACATGGCGGATAATACCACGTGACTCTGTCATCCAATCAAAAAGAGAACACTCTATTGTCGCCACGGATTGTCTCTGTCGCCACTGTTAATATAAAGTCACTGTAAAAAGGCCTATTTTGCCGCGACATCTGTTAGAACTTCATCAAAATGGCCCGAGTGCTTCCTCGATTCTATATACATAAAGTTTTCCTAATTTTTAAATTCATTTGGGTAGATTACCAAATTTAAATTAATATTATTTATATTTTCTAGATGTTCATCAAGCATAATTTAACTCGTATATCTCATTTTTAAAACAAATATTCTGAATCGATTATCGGTCCATCTATTAGTAAATAGAGAAATTACCTACGTTCTTTATTCAGTTTCGACAACCGTTCGAAGACGACAAAATTATCAAAGACATGACTTGGACACCACGGAGCTTGCTGCCATCTATTAATACTGTCCATTGTCCTCCAAGATATTTTTCATTGGTATTGTTCTACTAGTTGATCTAAATCTTATAACATATATTCTAAGATCTAAATACAATGAACAAACTGTTAATTCCCATTTCCAAGTGCTAAATTTTGCCGCTGTTATTTAAAATAGACGAATCACACCCAGGAACCAGGAGAAAGTTTTTGGCTTCAATTAAATCCATACAGTTACTTATCTATATTTCATTTGTTTGTCTAAGGCAACTGTCAGTTAGTTGGCAGGTTGACACTGTTGACAGTTACCTTTCAAATTCCATTTTAAAATTTTGAAAGTCCGGTCAACGGTTAATAGTCGTTTGTTTGATGTTTGTTATTAACAATTTTTAAACTACAAAGTATGTGCATCTTTCAATAAAAGAAACAACACAAATTAAAAATGGAGCACCATAAAGATCCAATTAGTGTCCGTATTGCCCGAGTAAACGCCGAAATTTTAGGATCAGCTCCTAAAATAAATAAACCAAATCTACTATCACGAGAAACTCTTTTAGACATTTTACAAGCCTTATATGAAGAATGTTGCTTAGAATCTTTACAAAAATACGATTCAAACATTGCACAATTTGTCCAAAAGTACAAAGAAACTATAAAGGAAATAAAAAGATTGAGAGTTAATATTACAGATTTCGAAATAAAAAACGTTATCGGTAGGGGTCATTTTGGGGAGGTACATTTAGTTAAAGAAAAGCAAACTGGAGACGTGTATGCTATGAAAACAATGAAAAAATTCGACAATGAATTGAGCAGAATTAGTTTTGAAGAAGAGAGGAATATAATGGCTTTTTGCAATTCGCACTGGTTGACTTCACTTCAATATGCATTTCAAGATACTACATATTTGGTTTACATAATGGAGTATCATCCAGGAGGAGACCTTCTAGGGTTGCTGTATAGACAAGGTGGTACTTTACCTGAAAGTGCTGCTACGTTTTATCTGGCTGAAATGGTAAATTAATTATAATAATCTTATAACTTTTCTTTCATTATATATTTTTAAAAGATTTTAGCTTTGGAAGACCTACATTTGATGGGATATGCTCATAGAGATATTAAACCTGACAACATACTTCTAGATCGTTGTGGTCATATAAAATTGGCAGATTTCGGTTCAGCTGCTAAACTAAATGAAAATGGTTTAGTCACTGCTGGGCCACCTGTTGGAACTCCCGATTATGTAGCTCCAGAAGTTTTACAATGTTTGGATGGAAAAGATGGAAAGAACAATGGCTATGGGGTAAGTAGAATAAACATTACAAAGAAAATTATTTAACTTTTGTTTAATTTGATAAATTTTTACTGTACAATCTGCTCAAAATAGACTCTGTATTACTAACACGTGCATATATTTATGTATACATTATAGTTTTTGTAAATGGTCCAAAGCCAAATTTTAATGGTCTTTAGTAATTATGTATTATAGAGCTTTTGTGTGGGCCTCGGTGTGGGCATTAAAACATTTTATTGATATCTTGATTCATTATAATTGATAGCATTTTTTTAATAATGTCCCAAGTTTGCTGCTTCTTTTTTTTTTAAGAAAAACCACATTAGCTTTGCTAGATAAAGACATATGATGTTAAAATAATTTTTTATTGAACCGTTGATAATTTATTTTAAAGTTGACCAATTGTTCCCAATAAAATACATTACAGTTTTTTAACTACCTATCTTATTCAGCAGAATTTCTAGTGATGACATTTATCAAAGATAATACACAAACCATTTCTATACTCTATATGTATAACTACTGAATTATCTTTCAGTGTTCATAGTTCATACAGCTGTCCCTCCTTTTTTTTGTATAAACTTGAGTTACCCCGTTTAAAAAGAATACGATAAATAGGAACAAACTTAAATGCTTCAATCTGAATGATCCTGAAATTACAATTATTATTTTAACTTTTTAACTTGAAATTATCTCTAAAATCTCTGCCTAAATTATCTAAACAATTTTGTTTTTTAAATTGATTTTTGTTACTTAATAATGTTATAAATTCAACACCAAACATGCTATGTATTATTTTTCATATTTTAAGGTTTCCTGTGACTTCTGGTCTCTAGGTATTCTAGCTTATGAACTTACAATTGGAAATACACCATTTACAGGCCAAAATTCAACCTCCATTTATTCAAAAATCATTAACCACAACAACAGTTTAAAATTTCCACCAGACCTAGTGATATCTCAAGCCTATGTCACTCTAATAAAATCTTTAGTAACGGACCCAAACTCAAGACTGAATTTAAAACAAATTAAAAGCCACAGTTTGTTCAAGAATGTCACTTTTGATACTTTAAGAGAACAGGTACCTCCTTATGTACCGAAGATAACTTCTATAGAAGACACTAGCAATTTTAATGACTTGGGTACAAAGAAAAAGAACCCTAACATGGACTCTTTCAAAAAGCGCACTCAATTTTCTGGAAGGAATCTACCTTTTGTCGGTTTTACTTTCACCCATGATTTGGAATGTTTCGAAAGGACGTTTGAAAGGAAACTTTTAACCAAAGACAATGTAGTAGAAGGTTTTAAAAAGGAAATAGAAACCCTACGAAAAAATTTAATTTTGAATGAGAGTTTTGGGAAAGAAAAAGAGAGTTTGGAGATGAAGTTGGAAGAGAAAACGCGAAAATTGGAAAGTATACAGAGTTTGAGAGATAGGTTGGAAAGAGAGCTGGCTTCGAGTATGGCAGAAAATACGGTAAGTAAGGTGGATAAGGTGAATATTTAAATTCAAGTTTTATAATCTATATGCTATATGCTAGGTTTGTTACAAAATTGTTTTAATTATAGTTTGAAATAATCATAAATTTTATTTTGTTTTTTATAATATTCTCACTCTTTACTTTGTAACCGCCCACCCCTGGTCTTGTAGCTAATTATTAAAAGCCCGTATTTTAATTTAACTACCTCCCCTTGTGAAATTCAAAGTAATTCATACTTACTGTATTTGGCCTTTTCCTCTAGTAGTGCAGTGATCGTCAAGTTAATATACCCACGTTGTGATAATGTTAATTAAGATAAACCAGGATTCAATGCAAAGTTTGGTACAAATTTTTGAATGAACCAATAAACTCAGTATGTACAAATTTCTTTTAATATTAGGTTATGAGAACTTGTATCTCATCTAGACCTCACATATGTCCTGCTCAAATAAACAGGCCACTTGCCATCAAATATTTGTAATAAAAACAATTCTTGAGAATAGACAGCAGACGTCCTCAGAATTGCACTATTATTAATAATTCTTTGTTTCTTCGTTTTCTTTTTTATATAGGTGCGCTTACTGAGATACCGTCGTTGTTATAACAGACGGATATCCCTTATGATTCAGCCTCACCTAGGGGGGTTTTATGTAGTCCTACTAAAATACTGCTAGTTCAATACCAGCGAACTACCTCTTATGTTCAGATCTACCTACGGTGCGAAGATTGAGAGATAATTATCTAAGATAGTCCAACCCTGTAGTAACATCAAGCATATTCGGATAAATGTGAGTCTAGTCGTCCGATGTGTCATTTACCCCAATCAGCTGAGCTGTTATTTAGTAGATATTTGCGAGGGTTCATTGACAGTTCGGTAGCCAGACTCTTATTATCTCTTATGGTGATATATTTATTTGAAGGCAATATGGCCCATAGCATACACATCTGGACGAGCTAAATGCGATGTCGCCGAGCAACAAATTCCTCAAATGTAATGGTTAACCATTATTGAATAATAAGAGTTACACAATAATATTAATTATTATTCAATAATAAATTCCCATTTTACAAATTTAATTTGGTTGTTATGTTATTAACTCACCATCGGATATGCAGACCGTTGGGTGTATATTATCGTCCGTTTCTTTTTCAGACATTTTATATTTTTGTATTCGGTACGGAAGCGTTATCTTGTGTCAGGATAGTTAGCAGGGACGTTAAGACGTTGGCGTTGGAATTTAGAGCGGCGTGACGGGGAGAGAGCGTCGTGACGCAGAACGTCAAACTGTGTCCTCAGATGATGTTTACAAGAGTAGAAAAATCGTTGTTATTAATTGTACAACAAAAGTGATTCTTTATAAAAAATCTACTTGTCAATAAAATAAGATTACCTACCTTATAAAAAAAAAACGAAAAAAAAAAGTAAAAACGAAAAATCTTTGTTAAATAGTATTTTCATATAGGTAAAAAGTCGTATTTCCAAATTTGGGCCTTATTTTCTCAAAATCTATAAGATTATTTACCAGCATTTTCAAAGATCTACGAAAAAGCATTCCAAACCAGGCTAGTAAATTATATTAACACGTTTAGCATTTTAAATCCTTATCAATTCGGTTTCCAAAAAGGGCTTTCCACTCAAGATGCAACTCTTACATTGTACAATCATATCCTAGAAAATTTTGATAAAAATAATAAATGTCTAACTTTATTTTTTGATCTTTCTCGGGCCTTTGAGACAGTCAATCAAGAATTACTTTTACATAAACTTGAGTTGTATGGTATCAGGGGCCCTGCTCTGATGTGGATAAAATCTTTTTTAACTAACAGATCCCAAACAGTTCTATTTAATTCAAATTCTTTAAAAAATCTGTCAACTTCTCGAAAAGTCAGTTCCGGTGTACCACAAGGTAGTGTCATAGGCCCTACTCTTTTTCTTCTTTTTATTAACGACTTAGCCAGTTCTAATATTTTTATTACTCAATTTGCTGATGATACATCATTTAGTGTTGTAAGTAAAGATACTTTTTTGTTACGAGATCAAGCTAACATGGCTGTCGAAACTATGAGTAGTTATTGTGACAACAATGGGCTATTTTTAAATGTTAATAAAACAAATATGCTATTATTTTCCCCAAGAGAGTTAAATTATAGTTTACTGGTCCGCCACAATGGTACATCTATAACTCAAAGTAAATGTGTCAAATTTTTAGGAGTTTATTTTGATTGTAATGTTTCTTGGAATTTTCATGTTGACCATATCACATCTAAATTGGCCACTCACTGTTATGTCCTTTGGCAACTAAGACATTTCATTTCAGTAGATATCCTGAAAATGTATTATTTCGCTCAAATTCACTTGATTTTGAATTACTGCATATTATGCTGGGGAAATTGTAATAGAATAAATGACATACTTGTGTTACAAAAAAAGGCTATAAGAACCATTACTTTCAAAAATAGACAATTTTCATGCAGACAACTTTTTAAAGACTTAAGAATTTTAACTGTTATTTCCGTTTATATTTTAAAATGTGTGTTATATGTAAGGTCTAATCATCAGAATTTTCTTTGTAGAGGTGATATTTCTATAAATAGCGGGTACAATTTAAGAAATGCACAAAATCTCGTTATACCTAGACATAAATTAGTTATGGCAAGTAAAGGACCTCTAATTACATCAATCAAGCTTTACAATAAACTTCCGGATAACATAAAATGCATAAATGATATTAAAGCTTTCAAAACCCGAGTAACAGAGGTCTTACTAGCTCACACTTTTTATAGTGTTGAGGAATACCTCCACTGCAATTTTACTTAAATGTTTTATTATAATTTTACTTAAATGTTTTAATTTTACTTAAATGTTTTAAATGTATTGTTTGTAACGAATTATATATAAGTTTGTTTCTACTCATACATTTCTGTCTTGTTTGTAAATTTTATGTGACGTTTTCTATACCTATGTATTCAGGTCTACAGAAATAAATTATTATTATTATTATTATTATCAAGGTTCATAATTAAGTCCCTCATAAGAATTAATAGTATTATAAACTTTTTATAGAAATGGACAATTAAACTAAAACATAAACACATCCTGAAGTCTAAAGTATAACAATACCCTTTTAGTTATTCAAAATAGTTCTAGCTCATATCATAATATATATGTTTTTACATTTTTTTTGTGCTACCTATATCATATTGTATCATTAGATAAATCTTATTTTTAAGGCTTTAAAACGAACCTTGGACCTAGAACGCAAAGAACGCACTGAACTTGAAAAAAAAGCTTTGGATCTCATAAAATCCGCGAAACTGAAATGGGAAACATCAGAAAAATCAAAAGTAGAAGCATTGAAATTGGAATTAGAACAACAAAAAGTAAAAATTACTGAACTAACGACGACAAACAAGATGTTAAATGAACAATTACAACATGCTTTAAAATTGGAAAACAAGCACAAGGAAAGTTTAGAAAAAGTAGAGCTTTTGAGTAGAAGGAGTGTTATTGGACTTGAATCTAGGTTAGGCCGTGTTACAAGTGAAACACAAGGAACTATTACAGACCTACAAAAAAAATTAACAGAAGAAATACACCAACGAAACCTAATTGAAAACAAATTATCTGATGTGAAGGAAAAAGAAAGATCGCTGAAAGAAAAATTGAAAAATTCCGAGAAAGATTTTGACTACTGGAAATCAAAAATTGAAGAAGCCGAATCACAAGTGAGATCTCTAAATGAACAAGTTACTGGTTTAGAAAAAGATGTAGAAAAGATTGATGAATATAAGAATGAAATATCAAGATTAAAGGACAAATTAGATAAAGGACATAGGGCAATCAAGGATTTAGAAAATAGAAATATTTTGCTTCAGAGAGATTCACAATCTATGGAAGGATATAAAAAAGAAATTGAAGAAATGAAGAAAACGATACTGAAAATGCAGAATGACAGAAAAATATCTGATTTAGAAAGTCAGTTAATGGAAGAGAAAGAAAAAAGTTTGTCTTTGCAAAAGCAATTGCAGGTAAGGATGATATAATTTATTTATTTTAAATAATTTTAGTACACAAAAGATATGGTGTTTTTTTATTGTTCTTAAATTTAACTAGCTAGATGCCAGAACTAAAAATGGTGGGTGTACTTATAATTTACTTTTTCCTCAAATAATGTGGGACAGTCAAAAATGTTCTCCAATGACATATCTTGGAAGTTTTCTGTCTCTTTTGGTCAAGTATATGACAGGGTCTTCCTTTTATATTTGGCCTTAGCCATGTCTTAAGCTTCAGGTATATCTGTTGCACTTTAACAGCTATAACTTTTTTCTATGTATTTTTCTGCAAAAATAATTTAGGTCTAATCCACCTATTTTTGGTATAATTTATGAAATAATTTTTTATTATTAGGTTGTGATACAATACATTTTGTAAAATCAGGCACCTAGGTGAAAACATCTATATGTGCTGTAAAAAATTTAATTTTATAATAATCATATATTTATGTACTAGAAAAAAATATGTATGAAAATAAAACGTGAACAATATGTGCAAAAAAAGAACAAAACTATTTATTACTCTTTGCTAGCTTTATTGAATTTTTTATATTTGTTTAATTAATATTAAGAGGTAGAGTGTTATAGAACTTTGAGTTTAGATAATTTACACACTATTTGGTTTTGCTACTTTAATGTATACGTTTTAAAGGGCTTTTTAATAATTAATTTTTTGTATATCCATCACATATTTAACTAACATGTTGTGTAATTAACAAAATTCGAACGGATTGTAAAATCTATGATTCATTACTTTTCACTAATTTTGTAGGAATCAGAAAATGTCGTAACAGAAAATCAAGAGCTGAAGGAACTACGCACCAAATTCTGGCGTGTAGAAAAGGAGCTTGGTAATGCCAAAATTGACAAGAGGATTTTAGAAAGAGAATTAAAGGAAGCTCAACTGGAGATAAAGCAACTAACAGAAAAAGTTCAAAGCAATGAAGAGATTGCTCAACAATTAAAAACATCCAGTGAAGCAGCGCTTTTGGAACTAAGCAGTATTAACGAAAGTTTATCTTTAGAACTAATGAAAGTTAAAGACAGTTACAGGTATTTGTTTTTGTTTAATGTAATTACAATTTTATTGGAAAGGACAAATATGTATATTTTCAAAAAATACACCTTAAGCAATAATTGTATTATTATATTTTTGTTATTATTTAATTTATTTGCTAATAATTATTTCCTTCTTGCTCCTCAATATTTTCAGTAACTTCATGGTCTCTTTGCCCTGAGTCTTCAGGTTTCAACAAATACAGAATTTTTTTTTACCTGTTTGACTAACTTCGTCATCATCATTCATCAAATAGGATAGGAGTTCTTCCAAAAATCTTTATAAAGTGATTTCGTATAATTTATTATGTTCAAATATACCCATATATTTTAGAAATCTTCAAGAAAAACTTGACAACGAAAAAGATAAATTCGAAAGCGAAAAATCGATTTTACTAGAACTCAAAGAAATCGTAAGAACAAAAGATGAACAGATCAACTCGGTAAATTTGGATTTAAATTCCGTTAAAAAAGAACGTCACACTTTGGAAAACGAACTCAAACGGTTTGAACAAGACAAAAACAGACTCGTAAAGTTGGTCGAATCATTGCAAAAAGATAAGGGGGAAGCTTTAGATGAGTCTAATAAGTTAAGGAGAGAACTGCACAATACTAATTTGGTAAGCATACATATTTTATGAAATAACTAATAATTTGTATCAATATAATTAATTTTATAAATTTATTAATTTAAAAACCTTAAAAATTTTAGTTTTAATCTTATTTTAATATTTATTTACAGAATCTGAACGCTTTAAGAGAAGCTTGCATTCTCTTAGAAAATCAAGTCATTGAATATGAAAAAATCAATGCATCTTTTGAAACCAAACAAGCCGATTTAAACAGCAATACTGAAAAACTTATTCAAGACATTTGCGATGCAAAACGTGAAACTCAAGAAGCTAAAAAACAGATCAACGAAGAAAAATCTCTGAAAGTGTTTGCAGAAACTAAAGTTAAGAGGCTTGCGGAGGATATCGAGTGTCTTCAAAATGAGTGTCAGGGCTATAAACAGCAATGTGTCGAATACAAACAATATTCTACTGGATTGTCTGATGAATTAACTGTGGCTGAAGAAAAAATAATAGACCTGGAGGTTACGGTCAAAGCCTATGAGAGGCAGGTTGAAGATTTGAGGTAGATATTTTTTACTAATTTTTATTCAAATGTTATATAAGTTTACAGTACCAATGTATCGGCGACCTATAAAGGACACAATAAAGTGAATCGCTACCATAGCCGGCCACGTTCCTACTACGTGGCAACCAAGTAGCCACCAATAAAATGGGTTCAGAGCAGTGGGGGGGGGTTCAAATTGACAGAATATAGGTATCAGTACAGATGTATGAAAAAAAACTTTCAGTGTTTTAGAAAGTTTATAATATACCTTTCTAAAACACTGACAGTTTTTTACCTATATCTGTACTGGGATCTATATTCTGCTACTGTGAACCTCCAAAATTTTGGTCACAAGTCGCCCCTGGTTCAGAGTAATATCAGGTACTATACTCGACTTGGTGGCCTAGTAACCACTATGGGCTGCCTAGTAACAACTGCCACTACCACTTTAATTAATTAGAATATCTTTTAGAGACCTCTTTTTGAAAGAGGTGAAACATCATTTAAAAAAAAAAATGTGGCTAATGTGAGACTGCACTACAGTGTGTACTGGATGATTGGAGGGGGGAGATTGATAAAAACAATTTTATTATAGCAAAAAAAAAAAACTTAATAAAATGTTTTTCTATCTGTCAAAATCAAGGTGTTAATTAAAATTAAAATAGCCAATTTCGCTTGTGTACAAATATCTCTGAAACCGGACCTGATATTTTAATTTTTAAAGGAACCAATACATTATTTTTAAAAATACCCATCTTTTTTCCCTTCTAACTACCTTTGTATCTATAACAATTATTATAGAAGTCACTTTCCTGTATGTAAAGCAACAAAGGATGATCTTTTTAATCATAAACTAAATTTACCTTGATTTTGTTTAGAAAAGGTAAAAAATAAATAACCTAAGAATAAAGCGATAAAAATAAAAATCTAAGGCAATGCAAAAATTATTATTAATACTGTAATCTCTAAAAAATGCTTACTTGTTCCTTCTCAGTGGTAGTGGCGTTTTTACAAATAAAAATGCTTTTATCGAAGAAAAAAAAAATATCAAAAAATATTCCTTTCAATTACAGACATTGGTTTTCTTCGTCAGCATTTTTTTTAAAGAGCTCAATCATATGGAACTCCTTAAATATCTGAAATTTCATAAATTAATACAATTGCATTCTTATTTGATGTATTAATTTTTCCAGGTCTGAACTCAAGCACCTTAAACAAGAAACTTCCGATTATCTGACCCATCTAAATCGCACAAAAGAATCAAACTATAAACTAAAACGTCACCTTAGTGAAGAAAAAGAAGAAAATGCTGTTCTAAGACAGCATTTACACGAAATTCAAAGAATTTTGAATGAAAAAAACAGTTACTATAAGGAGAGAGAGCTTAAATCTGATGCTACCATTAAACAACAAATTAAGTTGATAGATTATCTACAAACTAAAGTAAGTTTTTATATTTTGTTCAACCAATTATTTTTCTTTATCCATTACTGTCATGGTACGAAGAAAAGGATAGTGCATGCTCCATATATACATAAAAACATTATTCTAATGCTAATGTTATTAATTAAACAAAGACAAGAAGAAAATTAAATAATTTTGACTTAAAACGTGAAATATTCAATCAGCTAGAGTTAATGTTCAAAATGTGAATGAATACACAGTTCTGCCCTTTTTTTTCTAACGAAAAAAAATTCAATCTTGATTTCGTGGCAAGTATGGATGTGAGACTGCACTACAGTGTGTACTGGATGATTAGAGGGGGGAGATTGATAAAAACAATTTTATTATAGCTGTATTCTTGGAAAGTATAGGAATCAGAGGCACAGTTTTAAATTGGATAAATAAAAAACAAGGTAAAAATAAAAAAAACATTATTTCTGATGAAGTGGTCAATGAATATGGTGTACCTCAAGGAAGTCGTTAATGCCCTTATTGTTTCTAATATATGTAGGGGAGCTTCAAATGTAATGTTTATTGCATTTATTTGCAGATGACACACTTCTATTTTACTCATCAAATAACATTAAACAAGCGGCGACAGTTGTAAATAAAAGTTTGGAAAAATTATATGAGTGGGCATGTGCAAATTTTTTAAAAAATAATGTTAATAAAACTAAATATATGTTTATTTCAAATGATAGGGAATATAATAAGTTTCATGTAGATAACTATGTAATTAAAATTAGAACCTATGAATTACTACACGTTGAAGAGTTTAAATATTTGGGTGTAAAAATTGATAGAAAATTAAAATTTAAATCTCATGCTAATTATGTTATAAAAACAATATCTTTTAAAATAAATTTTCTATACTGTAGTAAGCACCTGACGCAGTGGACCAAAAACATAATTTACAACACTTTAATTTTGCCCTCTTTTACTTATTGTGCTACAATATACTCTACCTATTAGGACAAAATGAAAAAAGTAGATTAAAAAAACTACAGAATCGAGCAATGCATACGATACTGTCCCGCTCTAGGCTGACCCAAATAAAATTCTTAACTATCAATAAATGTCAGTTTTCCATAGCTAAGTAAGACAAAACCAATTTTTTTTTTTTTAACAGATGATATTTTTAATACTTCCTTTAACTGATTGAATATTTCATGTTTTTAGTCTTTGTTTAAATTTTCTTGTTGTGATTATTTGTTTAATTAATAACATTAGCATTAGAATAAAATAAAATATTCCGAAAACGGTACATAGTGCCTTTTTGGTGTAAAATTGGATGATGTTTGAGTTCACATAAAATTTGAACTAGAAACTTTTAACTATCGCCCTCTATGGGAGGCAGATATAAAACAAATGTATGCCATTTGTCTGCTTTCAAAACTATTCGTACAAAATTTAATTACATTGTTGCTAGTAGTTTCGACATAATTGAAAACAATGTGTATACATTTTTTTTTTCTCAATACCCTGTACCTTAAAAACGGATGCCGTTATGAACATTTTTAACTTATTTTGCATTGTTCTACCTATCCTAGCAACGGAGCCACCTTTTTTGAACACCCTGTATAATAATTATAATAATAAAACATCTTCATATAATATTTAAAAATCTAATTTTCAGCTAAATAAAGATCTAACTGGTCGTCTTACTATTGAAAATTGACAAATTTATCATTTACAATAAAAACTAATTTTAAAATAACCTCATCTTATTTCATCTCATAGGTACCTTTAACAGTATTTTATCCTCCATTTCAAACAAAAATGGCTAATAAATTAATTTTTCCATAGTTAGTTCCACGCACTGTAATAAAAATAATACTCTAAATCAAAAAATATTATTGACCATTGAATATTTGTATTTAAATATTCAATTTGTTTTGTCCCTGGAGGATATGCAATAGACGTAATAAGACTGTAACCGCCCACCCCCATACCCCCATTGATTTTTGTTTAATTCTGAAATTTTATTATTTACCTCTCAATTTTCGTTTTACTTTAATTTCTATACTTACTGTATTTGGCATTTTTCATCTAGTAGTACTAGTAGTGATAGTCTAGTTAATTAATTGATAATTTATATACCCACGTTGTGATAATGTTAATTAAGATAAACCAGGCTTCGATGCAAAGTTTGGTGCAAATTGGTAAATAAAACCATACAGATTTATATTTAAACCCTTTTATTTTTCATACTTTAAATGTAATGCAATAATTTACAAAGTATATTACAATAGGTACTATTTACTGAGATCTTACTTGAGTTCTGCTCAAACGAGGACCACATTCATTTGCAAGATATATTTTCTTTAGCTTTATGATAAACGAAGTTAACGAACAGCGCCAATTCGCCAGTTGGTTAACTTACTATGTTGATGTTTATATTTTATTTAGCTTGATTCTATCTTAGATATACACAGGATTGTATTTTTTTAGGTATTTATTTCGACTACTATAGAGGTGATGACCAACGAAATTAACGAACAGCGCCAGTTTGCCAGTTGTTTAACTTACTGTGTTGATGTTCACATATACTTTATGGTTCAAACCTAGTATAGAGTGAACAGTGTTAATTCACCAGTTGGTTAACTTACTATTAAATTTTACCATCTAGTTTTGCATAATGACTCAAATTCACCCATCTAAAAACGAATGTCTGACTTAACTGTCTTTCGGGGTGAATTCCCGGAGGCCATGTGGTTTATTGGGTTACATTGATAATATTTTTAAGCAAATATCAGGCCCTTAATAAAACGGGACCCCGGCGATATCTCAAAGAAAGTTACATTAAACTTTTCGACCCACCATTGTAAATATGGACATTTGGTTCGTCTATGTACTAATTAGGTATGTCGCAGCGTTGAGCGTCGCCTTGCGTCGAGACACCTAGCGTCGTGGCGGAGAGGAAGGTATTACAGTACTGCGTCGGGACGCATATACGGTAAGAAATACGTAGGTGGTGCTGCGCGACGAAGTGTGTCGTCAATAATATTATGAATATTAGAAAAGGCAAGCTTCGGGAAGTAGGGCGGTAGTATGTTGATCGTCGGGACGTGATAGTGTTCGGGAGACTGGTCGTCTGGACGGATATAAAAGGTAGGAAATACTTAGGCGGTGCGGGACCTTGAGCGTCGGAACGTGAAAAATGTTCAGGAGATAGGAAGTGACAGCTTTCTGGGGATAGGAGGTATTATAGAATAGACGTCGATTTAGGAAAGATACTGAATACTGAACTTGAAATATAACTGAATGAATAGACAGGATATAAAACAATAATGAATGTCCTCCTGTTTCTCGGGCTTGGGTATTTATACCCGTTTTAATGACTTTTTGTGACGTCAATTTGTCTTAGCTCCGACGGGCACGAATTTGGATGGATAAAAAAAGATGGTCAATTTGTTACGTGCCTTGAGAAATTCTGTTAATTTTGTTTCGAAATCGGTGGTAATATTCGAAACTGATTTAATATAAGCGCATAAAATGTTTTAATTATTATTACTTCGTAAAAAGAAATATGTTTATGGAGGTTTTTGGATCGAATTCTCATGGAATAACTTTTTATCTTTTCTGTAATATTAGAGACCCCGCTAACAGAAATATTGCTTTTATTTATTAGGCGTCATAGATAGGATTTAATTGTCTTAAAGATTTTTCGTAAAATGTAGGAATTTGAATTTAATAAGAATGCACATTTTTAATAAAATGGAATTAATAAATTATGAAGGTACTTGGGTGAGGTATAAGACCTAAGTGCAGTGGAGCACAGTCTACCATTCTGTCTGCAGAATCTGCACAATCTGAATTTTTATATTTTTATTTTCCAGATCGACGAGCATACTAATAAGAAAAAAACACTAACAGAAGTTTTATTCGGCAGTTCAAAAAAAGAAAACCAACCGCCAATTTCGCTGGTTATGAACTACAAAGATTTGGAAAACCAACTTTTAAAAGAACGCCAGGCAAATAAAAATCTTCACGAAGAAATCTACAAACTAAAAGCAGCCACGATGATTCATGAAAATAATAAAGTAGTAGACAAATTGAAAGTAGAAAGACACAAGTCCGAAATTTTATCACCTAAAAGTAAAGTAGCCATGAATCAGATCGTAAATTCGCCTTCAAAACAGAAAAATGAATTTTTTAGGCAGAATTCTGTAACTAGAATGCATCACAATATACCGCACAGGTTTGTATTTAAATGAAATTTGTTTCGTTGCCTAAAAATTTATATAAATATGTGAATCAGAAAATAAAACTGTAAATTATATCCTATGTTGATATGATGTAAATCATCTTATCCAAAAATTAAAAAAATATTAATAAAAATGTTCCAATACTCCTGCGCTACCGTTTAGGTTAGTTGCATTCTTAGGTACTTGATATGTTTTGATTGTGACAATTGTTGTTTATATAATTTTATATTGAATTTTTTTTTTGTAAAAACCATATTTAAAAAAATTTCAGGTATGAATCTAAGCACAGCAGATCATCTACCAAATGTACGGGATGCTCCGAACCGATTTCGCTTGGGCGAACAGTAGCTATATGTTCTGAATGCAACATGCACGTCCATATGGAGTGTAAACATCAAATACCAAATACATGTGGCCTACCAGACGTTTATGCCAAACACTACAAAGACAGCCTGAAACAAAATAAAGAACAGACTGGCAAAAATCAACCGACTGATGAAAACGTGAATATAGAAGGGTGGATTAAGGTTCCAGGGTAAATATAGAAGTTTCTTTAAAAGTATGAGTGGCTTCAAAAAAAAGGTGTAAGACATTATCAAATAACTAATCTTACTTTATCCCTCAGGAAATCAAATTCTTGGGAAAAACGCTACGCAGTTCTCACGGATACATCATTAAGGATTTATTCTGTACCTCCAAAAGAACGCTCGTCCATACTGCTTCAAACTTTCGAATTGAAACCCGATAACACTCATGGAAAAGTCGTATCAGAACCTTTACCTTCGGAGATTGGAATACCAGTGGCTAGCAGTGACCTATCTTTTGTGCTGAAAATTGAAGTTGCACCCGATACAACGTGTTGGCCTGCCGAGTATCTGGTTTTTTTGACTCTATCGGCGCAAGATAAAGACAAATGGTTTTTAGGTAATATGTATTTCTTTTTAATACTTTAAATGTTTTAATGAAACGTTTTTGCCATTTAAAATTTATTAAACTCATCAAAACATTTACAATTAGAAGATATAAATGCCTCAATGATTCTCAACTTTGGCACTTTCTGTCTTTTTTAAAAATTTCAGCGATGCATTGCTATTTAAAAAGAAACTAAATTTTTTTTCAGCTCTTCAAAAAATCTATTATGATGAAGTAGACCGTCCGAAATGTGAAAGGATCCTAATAGTTCCTGAAAATGTAGATATAACTTGCGTTATAGATTTGACAGAGAATATAAGAGTATTAGGAACGGAATCTGGCCTTTATTCATATTATGAAAAAAATTTGCTCCACATTGAAGGTCTTGATAAGGTACCTAATCTCATATTGAAATACTTTTAACATAGACTATGTTAATTTTAAAATGATAATAATAAACAGTTATAAAGACTTAGCGACTCAATTGCAAATTCTTCTCTATCTCTTGTTTTTTCATTAAATTTTCCCAATTGATTATTTTTGTTATCTACAAATCTTGTTTTACATCCATGTAGTGTGTGGTCTTTCGACAAGCAATTCCAACTGACATAACTAGTTTTTAGGACTATTAGACATTCTAATTAATGAATATTTTGATTTGTTAATAATTTGAGGAATCGTAACTTCCATTTAAAATAAATAAAAATAAATATTCTCAAAGCCATATGTCACAAAATACGTTTCCGTCGGGAAAACAAATACTCTTGGCCTATTTTACGTTCTTATTTGTATATTGATTTAACACAATTCTCACCTGTTTTTTTACTACGATTTGATGACTAGTGTCACTTTTGAGAAATTCTTTGGTTTTAGTGTAGTAGGTATATAAAGTCATATTCTTATCCTTTTAAATTAATTTTTTTATTGTGTTTTCGATTTTCATATTTTATAGATAATTTAACAATTTTCTGTTCTGATTAAAATTGAAGTACTTATTTCTGGGACGCTGTTCACTTTCTTATTCCTACCCATAAGCTACCCAGTTTATCTAGCAGGATTTTAATTTTTATACAAATGTCTCCAGAGCCAGTTACAAGCACCAAGGTGATGCGTCCTAGTGCTCTTTATCCAAATCATGTCTGTGTAGCCTATATTAATTTTTTTATCAAAATAATGTTTCAAAAACATGTTCTTTTAATTTTTTTAGATTCATAATATTTCTGTAATGACCACTGCAAATCAAGTTTTGATGATAGTCGGAGACGACAGAAGACTGATCACATGCGATTTGAATCATTTGATCAATTTAACACAATGTGCCCAATGTACAAAACCCAAATTGAAGTTTAATGAAGTTGAGTTATCTAATTTGAGAGGTTTCCATGTATTACAAGTAAGGTTTTATATCAATTTTTTTCCCTTAACTTTTTTTAGAATAAGATTTTTTAAATAAAGCATTTCTTTATCATAGAAATCCAGGCCCTTCTAATAAGTATTATTCTTTTTAAATATTTCAGTCTCTTTAAGTATACTTTAATCACTAATTTTATTTTAATTTTTTAGGTATCGCCATTCACAAAACAACAAAAAATATGCGTTGCCACGGAACGCCAACTTATAATCCTTAATTACGAATTGGAAAATTCAGAATTTATTGTTGCCAAGAGTTTAGACACAGCAGAACCTACTGGTTGCGCCCTTTTTACCGAAAACAGTCTCATAGTAGGAGCAGATAAATTTTTCGAAATCGATTTGGTAACATTTCAAGCAGAAGAATTTCTGGATGTTTCCGATTCAAAATTAAAATCGGCGGAAAGGTAAAGATCTTTTAGCTATTACACTAGGCAGTAGGTTACGAATTCTTCGAAAAAAGTTAGTCGGTTTAAAAAAAAAACATTTTGCAACAATATAAGCAATGGCTTCATAGCCCACTGCATATAGAAGATTGGTAGTTTGTAAACAGTTAAGGATGCCACAGCACTTCCGGTTTTTGATAACATGATTTAAAGTTGAATTTTAGTTAATCCTTTCCTACGTTTTTCCTTTATATCGCAAAAATCGTACAGCAAAATAATATACGCAATCGTATTTTTATTTTATATTCTCAATTAAGTTAGTCTGGTGGAAAATATTTGTCAACACCGCGTATTTGTAGATATCTATCGATAGGCAATCTACCAATTAGGCATTCCAACGACCTGTCAAACTGCTGACAAGCGGAAACTGACATTTAGATATGGCAACCCTGTGAGCCTGTTGTCATTGACAGTCAATGGTACATATATAGTTATATAGATTGCTCAAAGCGGGTCATTTACGAGTGACCTTATTGCCCCCAAAGTGCTTATTAATTGAAATCGTTTTTGCAAAAATGTCTTTGCAAACTAATATTTAGCCTATAAATATAGTAAAAAAATAATTACCTACAAAATATAGATGATCAATTTATGTAACTATCTATTTCATTGACCTTGTCAAATCACCAGGCCTACAGGGTTGCCATAATTTTACCATGTCAAATCCCACTGATAGCCATTTTGTTTAAAATGCCTAATTAGGAATTCCAACGACCTGTCCAAATGACTACCAGTGGGATCTGACAGTTTAGATATGGCAACCCTGTTGGCATGTTGTCATTAACAGGGTCAATGATACCTATATAGTTTATATAGATTGGTTAAAGCGTCTCGTTTGCGAGCGGTCATATTGCCTGGCTAATTTGAATCGGTTTAGCAAAAATGTGTTTCAAAACCAATTTTCAGCCTTTGAATATTTAAAAAAAATAATTGGCTACATTTTTACTTCAAGGCATAAGCTTATGTTTATTCAATCTATATAACTGTCTATATCATTGATCCTATCAAACCACCAGGCTTACAGTGTTGTCATATTAGGTTCTTCCGTTCGTCCCACTGGTGTAGGAATGAACTACACCAACGTACACTAAACCTTTCGTTCGGCCCGGTGTAATCCACTAAACCTTCCTGTCGGCGATGTGGTGTCCACTGGTGGATATTTTCTCCACCAGCTATTTAGCAGGAGTGAATTACACTCGAAATGTGTATAAAGAATAAGGAGGGAAGTAAACTAAGGTAAATAAGGTGGTGTAACTGGTGTAATTTACACTGGTGGACACTGCACCAACAGCGAACGAAAGAACCTATGATAACCTATTATGTGTCTGTCATTTTTGGCCATAGAATATGAGGAAATAAAAAAATAATGAATCTATTTTAAAAATTGAAGATATTGATATTTTGTTAAATCAAAATTTAAACATTATTTATTTCTCCCCCTGTGTAATAAAATATCTTCTAATGTCATGTAATAGTTCATTACTACCGTCTTCACTATAATTCAATTAAAAAAACTTTCAAATTTTAGTTACTTTAGCCAAAATTAAAAAATAAAATATTTTAATACAATTGTAATTTTTTTTTAGTTACCAATTTTAGCTATACACTTTATTATACAAAATATTCTTTGGAATCATGAAAAAAAAATAGGTGTCCCATTTAATATAGACAAATTGACAAATACTTCCGGTAAAAACGGAAATGAGAAAACTGTCAAAAAATTTAGATTGAAAAATAATAATCTGTTAACAAAATAATGTCTGCAATCGTAGGAAGTCGTTTTTCTCACTTGTTGCTGAAACTATTACTACGAATCTGTAGAAAAACATTTTAAATAATATTTTGTTTCGTTTCAGTTGTTATAAAATGGGATCTTATCCGCTGGCTGTTCTGCAGATTTGCAAAAATCCTAAAGAATATCTCATCTGTTTCAATGAATTCTCGATTTTCGTCGACGAATACGGTCGTTCTACACGACAAAAGGAATTAAAATCTTATCATCTGCCACTCGCCTTTCATTTTAGCAAGCCTTATCTATATACGGCGCAATTTTCTGCTATCGAAATCTGCAAAATTACCGAAGACACCTGCAATTCCGCAGAAGATAAAATAGAAACTCTCAAAATTGATCTCGACAAATTTAAATACTTGGGTTGGAATAAACGCGGAATATACGTGTCAATACAGAATGAAGTTAAGTTTATCGATGCTGGTAAGTTGATGTCTCTAGACGACAGTTCACTGGTCAGCGAAACTTCCCATGACAGTTCCGAAGATAGATTTACCTTTAGTAGTTCAATTGTACAAAGTTTGGATGGAAATTTAAGCGACTTTGATACTTTAGATGATCGCCAGAAGAAAGTCAGGTTTTCACAAACTGATTTATAAATAAGGAATTTCGAGTGTTGTATTTATTCTAGTATGAAAACTTTAAATGTGTAAAAATATTTTTTTTAAATCTACTATTAAGCTTAAATACTTTGCCACTAATACGGAAAATTGAACAAACATTTAAAACAAATACCAGGAAAATTGTATATAGGGTATCAACGAAAATAATGCGTTTTACAAAATAATATGTTACAAGGTGCAATTAAAGGAAAATATTTTAGATAATATAAGGACTCGTTTAGTATAATACTAATAAATTTTTAAATATCAGAGTCGGTCTAAAAAATTTGTAAAAAAACAATACCATTTTCGTTTCTTTGTTATAATAGCAAAAAATTTTGATGACTATTTGCATTTAAAAACGGGTTCTTAATGTGATATTGGGTGGCCAAATAAATTTGAATCATTTAAATGCGTGTATTTTAAAAAGCATTTGAGATAGGGTTCAAGTATTACATAAGAACAATTTCAATGATATAACGCTCCTTCCTACCCCCCTGTATAAGCAAAAATAAGAAAATCGTGAACCCTTCTCCCTCAAATGATAAGACATAAGAATTTTTTTTAAACTTATCTAAGTAACAAAATTTAAAAATTAAAGTAGTGTGTTAACAAAATTAAGAATAATTTTTTTATTGTCCTCGGACTCCGTATCCAAGTTTCTACATCATCAACAATTGGTATCCTACTTTTTCACAATTTGGTGATTCAGTTATATTATTAACGTAAAAATAGTATTAGTAATTTACGTTAAAAATATTTTGAAAATATCTTACTTAAGATTTATAATATCTCCCTGCTCCCTTTGTGAATAAAAATAAGAAAAACTTGAGCCTGCTTACGTAATACCATATCAATGTCCGGTTTTCACTAGACATCTTTTGATATCAAATATATACATATGTTTACCAAACATAATTTTTGATGAGGATATACAAAGCAAAAAAGCAAGAAAAATACTTGATTGACCCTACGAACATGAAACTTAGTGAAAATCAAATGATTTCACAAGGCAATTTTTTTCTATTGAAAATAAAAGCAGTGGCAGAACTGCATTTTTTACAAATTTCCCTTAACTCACTAGCTATCTCTGCTGGTTAACGAAATCCCTATATAGGAAAATTAGATTTGGACAATCCTGTTTATTACAAAAAAAAAAGATAGGGAAAAATTAAAATCTGGGGAACTTTAAAACAATTGGCAACAACGCTGAAGATTGTTATTCGGTAAACATTTTTAGGTAACGCCATATAAAAATATGTATTTGAGATGTAGTAAAAACAATCATACAAACTTTAAGGGTTGATAGGGGACATTAAAACTTTCTTATTTAATAAACATATGTCCGCAAATGAGGCAAAGAAAGGAAAAATGGCCACTACAATAATTGTTCAAAATGTTGACGATTTGCTTCAATGCAAAAAATTGTACTTTGCTTCATTGACTTGGAATATTCCTGGAATAGCTTCTATATGCATAAAACTATCCATTACGAAGTTGAGTTTCGTAGTACTAAAGATTTCAGTTAACCCCAAAGAAAAAAATCTAGAGTGTTGAGATCCACAGGTCAGGCCACGGGACCTCCTCATCCCATCCATAGGGAAGGAAATCGCTGGTCCAAATACTGGCTCACGTACAAATCAAAATGTGGAGATACTTCGTCATGTTGAAACCACAAATTTTTTGTAGAAAATGGATATCTGCATTCAAACGAGCAGGCAGCAAGTGAACTATTAGATTCTTTCTAACAATACCAGCCCACATGTTTTACAGAAAATTATTGTTGCTGGTATTTTCTATAGAGATCATCATGAGGATTTTACTAATGTTTCAAATGTGGCTGTTTTTACTATTAAAATAACCATCTAGTGTGAACCTGCCTCATCAGTAAACAAATTGAGAGTCTATTAAGTTATAATCCAAAAACTATTGGCAAAAAGATAACGGATGTGGATAATCTTCAGGATTTACAGTCTATGTATTGTAAATATTAAAGATGGAGGAGTTGGCCATGCAGGATAGGCTGTATCATCGACTTGGAGGAATCCCATATGGTGTGCAATTTATATTAATTTTCCTCCACATGATGTAGAACTCCTTCAAATTCAACCGTACGAGCAGTTCTTGGATGACCACCATCAGAACGCTTTAGGTTTCCTCGTTCTCTAAGGGGGCAAAGGATAGAAGCTGAAGTTGCATGCGTTCCAGATATATTTTTTCATACATGCGTGCTGCTTCTCCTCCATTACAATTGGCCGCACTATACGATATACATTCAGTTTAGAATTCTAAATATTGGAGAACGGTCTAGAACAACAATAACATTAAATAGAGGGAAATAATTATACCTGCTATCCCACTACCGCGGTAGAGGTGTAACCATGTTTTTAAACATCCAATCACGCAGGTGGAAAGGTGAACAGACGAGTCTTAGATTCCTGAGAAAGTACTTGAGGTACTTTTAATTAAAAAAAAATGGATTTTACGAACGAGAAATATTTTCAAATTGTGGTCTGGCACAATAATTGTTTTAGTATTCCTCAAATTATACCCATGTTTCAACAAATGTTTCAAAATAGACCACTACCAACACAAGCTATTATCGAGCGTATTATGGAAAATCACTGTGTACATGGAAAATCTCCACGTACATGGACGTTTTTCTGAAGGAATCGAACAAGTGGTAGCGATAAGTCATAGGCCATTAAATCCGGATTACGAATTGCGGGATTTAATGATCTGCGCTACAGTAAAACAAGACTTGAGTAACTACGGATCTTGCTCGAGAATTTGGCATTTCCCTTGTGAAGGTCAGTAAGATTTTAAAATCTAATGGCTACAGAAGTTTTAAACTTCATTGAGCCAATGAAATGTTTCCCGAAGACCAATATTTTTCTAATGGAGTATTGTGAAAGGGTGGTGGAAATGGCGAACGTCGATGAAAATAGAGTTCGTTTTATTTTTGAAAGTATCTATCTGTATTTTTTGAATTAATTGAATGCCATTTATTTTAGGTACTTTCTAGCAAAAACGGGGCATTTTATTTGTGATATTACCGATAACTACGTAACTTTCGCCATGTTAATCAATATCCCCAAAATAGTTTGCGTAGTATTGAAGTTTGTGCTGTGCTACTATTGCAGTGTCTCCTTGTCATCGAAAGGGCGTAGTTAAACAAGTTTCTCTCTTTATTTTGCTTACGTCCAACTATAATTGTCTCATCTTTATTACTCAGAATTCCTATGTTAATATACTGTATAAGCAAAGTGCATATCAGTAAGTTTTTGAAATGAGAAATTATCATCCATTTTCAATACAAATTTTTAATTCCCAAATAGTACTGCGGTCTTAAAATTAACAGCTTTGGATTGTATATTGTTATAAAGAAATGTTTTGTTCGCCAACTAAAAACGTAGTTGAAACAAAAAATGTACGAAAAACAGTTGTACAGTTGTATTCAATTGAAGAATTAATTTAGTTATTTGGAATATAGGCAGAAGGACTTCGGTCGATAGTCTATTGTACTGAATTTTCAGTTCAATAAATGACAATTATTATTATTATTATTTGGAATAATTTAAAACATTTTATTGCCCACAGCCCAAACGGCTCATTTGCGGACATATTTTTATTAAACAAAAAAGTTTGTTTTGATGTCACCTGTCATCCCTTAAAATTTGTCGGTATGTTTTTGGGACACCCTGTATATATTTTTATAATTAGAGCTTGGTTTATAACCAACAAGTAGAAACGTACCATCAGACAGTTTCAATTTTGTGCTCATTTTCAGCAAAAAGCCGTATGTGCAATTTCACGTATGCAGCGACGATATACCAGTTTACTCTAAACAATGCTTTAACCGAATTTAATAAAATTTTCACAATTTGTGGACAACTTAATGACGTGTCTTTCTGACATCTTCCAGTTGAAATCCATAGGCGTGCTCACGGGACACTTCGATTAGTTTTCTGCATAAAAAAATATCACCCAATAGACCTTTTGAATTGTTCATAATTTTTTTCAAATATGTAAACTAACTAAAAATATAATTTAAAACTAACAATTTTGCACGTCTCTAAATACCTAAACCTTGTACATAAAAAAAAGCAAAATCGGATCATAGTTTATTGGACAAAATACCTTCACGCTGGTAAAATCCAAGAGATATAAACTGTACCACCTTCTATACATTTTAAAAAGGAAAAACGTAAATTATTCTCAAAATTTTTTCCGTGATTTGTTTATAATGTGGCTGCCTATGCCTGTAAGGAACGCCTTATTTTTGCTGACACCCTGTACATTCAAATCACCTTAATTGCATAATATTAAACAACGAAAAAATATTGTTTAAACTCATTAGATATTGTTTACAAACTTCCATTTTATTCTCATTTAAACGTTTGAAAACATTTTTTTTTTTATATATTTTGTAAATGTGAAAAATGATGAAACAGATATTTGGTATTTTAAATTTTAGATTTTTGATGCTGTAAAAGTTACAGTTGATGATTTAACAACCGAAACCGAAGGTAAATAAAATATAAATAAATTATTAAAAACATGTATTGTTTTTAGTAGAATATTTTATAAAATACATTTATATAATTAATTTAACAATGCGCTTTTCCAAAGAACTGTTTGTGTATTGGATACCCTATTTTTGTACTTATTGGAAGATCTCTAAAATCTTGCCTTTTTTAAAAATTGTACTGATTTTTTGTTTTTCTTATCTTATTTAAATAATTCTTTTAACAAAATACACATTTGTATATTTATTTAATAAACTGTGTAAGTTTTAATTTTTTTTATTATTATAGTAGGATCTCGCCATTATTACATTCCCAATATGAAATTTGTGAATACAATTGTGTAGGGAGTTGAAATTTTGATAGAATATTATAAAGCATAGTTGATGTATAATTCAATTATCTCGCAAGGTTTTTTCAGCTTTTCGACATGGGATTTTTAGTAAAAGATAAATCGTAACCAATCTAGCC